CTCTAAGGGGACTCGAACTGGTGACCATTAAGGAGCAAATACAAGACATGACCATTAAGCTACCCTCAGGGTTATAAAAATCCATTACTATCCACACAAAGATAAATCAAATTCACTATAATCTTATCAAACCATAATAAATTTTAGTCCTTTGTTAACTGAATTCTTCTTAAACAATTGTTGCGAACATTACGATGCATGTAAATCATTGCAAATGAATACATCTATCTACACAGATAAATAAACATTTTGATGGGGTTAGGGGTAGGGTGAGTGGTGTAAAGAATTAAACATCCGTGTTTCTTAGAAGAAATACCATTTAAAAAAGTGTTTTCAGTAGAAAAGGAATAACGGTCGTGTGTTTTCAATAATATGCGGGTGATTTCTCTCGGCAATTTACAAAGATGGAAGGCTGTCACAATTTGACTGCTATTACAAGGCAGAATCTGAATGAAAATTTCCAAATGCCAACACATATCTTAATCTAAGCTAATATTTATCATTCCTTACCATTAGAAGGATGCAAAGAATCTTCAAAAAGATATTCTAAAACTTGCTTTTCACTAATAAGTGATTTTTTAAGCTAGTTAGCCAAACATTCACTGGAATACTCAGATAAAGTGTCTCGACCATGATGGAGTCCTCGTATAAAAGTCAAAGGCGGCAATAACTTTGAAATGTTTGTTTAGATTTATGAACCTTAATAGCGAGGCTGGTTTTGTAGAATATTGCAAATGTTGAACTAAAGGAATTTATAATGAAAAACAAGACAAACACCAAATTTGGGTTATCTGGTCCTAGTTTAGAAACTTGTGGACTTCACTGAAAACTAATGAAAAAGAAAATCTTCAAAGCCAACATTAGTTTTTTATCATTATTTTGCTTTTATAACAAATGATAAATTATATTTAGGTAGAAATCATCCCTCGTTAATATTTGTTCAAAAATCAGAAAAGCAATTCTAAAAATATGTAAAATATGAAAAGGCAAGGGAGCCCATTTATGATTTCTACCCATACCCATTGCAGCTATGAAGTATTGTGTCTTTCCTGGAAAAGGATCTCCTCCTACTTGACCCGAAAAGGGTACAATAAATAAGAAATATTAACCATATCATAATCAATATTTTTCAGTGTACTAATAACACATAACATAGACAAATTACAGACTGAAAAAAATCAGAAGCTGGGATTTTCGATTTCTTTTTCTTTATTTCTATTTTTCCTTCAAACAAGAACTAGATCCGACCATACAAAACAAAGTTAATAAATCAAATATAAAAAGATGGATTAACAATTATACATACATATACAGAAATATGCATAATAAGTAATAACAGATCTGTACACACACAGATAGAGCAAGAAAGGTTTTTTTACATTTGCCATGCAGAGAGGATGAAGAGGGAAGCGAATAACAGTCTTCCAAGAAACGAAAAGAAACCCATTGCTCGCACCGGCCTTTGCTCTTCGTTGGGGGAAAAAAAGGCAAAGGGATCCAAAGATAGAATTTTTTTAGAAATACTGAAATAGTCTACGATGGCTTAGCTCTATGGGTTCTGTTCTGCAGTCTGATTGAAATAATTATATATTATAGAATTTAGAATAAATTACATACATCTCCCTGAGGTTTGAAAAAAATACAAACATGGCCCCACTTATTTTAAATTTACACGAACCTCGACTCTTAACATAATTTTCTAATTTTACCATTTTTTCTTATGTTTATATTATACTACACTTTTTTTTCTTATTATCTTTTGCTTAATTTTAAATTAGCCTAACAAAATTGTTTATTTTAGAGAAGTTATTCTTTTTATACTGCAAATGATTCATTGTAATCATTAAAAATGATTAAATTAAAATGAATCTGAAATATTTACTAGAAAAGGGAAATTAAAAAAAATAAAAAAATCTAAAACTCTAAACATTTGATGGTGACTTTATTGGTATATCATTATTTGCATTATCGAAATGACATTTTAATATTTAAATTTAATACAGTATATGTGTTTAGAATATTGAAAATAAAAATTAGAGAAAATGTTAATTAATCAAAGAATAATTTCTTTTTCTTAAACAAGCGATCTCATTGATATAATTTCTTTTTCTTAAAATGAATATATAGTAATAATATGACGTAATAAGAATTTCAAAATAATATAAACCAAAAAGTTCAACTAAGAAATATGTTTTCTTTTTTGCTATCTATGAGAAAACTATTATAAAATGTAAACTTCATCTTATATTTCTGAGGGTATTTTTGTAATTGTTAATAATTTTAGGCCATGACACCATTATTTTCTCTAAATTTAAATTAATAATTTTTTTGTCAAACCTAATAATTTAAACAATTAATAGCAAAAACCTATAAACGTTTCACTGTGTGATATATCACCTACTTATTAGAAATTGCAGAAAACCTCTTTATTTGAAACCTTCTATGCTAAAAAATTATTATCGTTAAGATTTCAGTATCCAATCTATTTATTTTTTTACAAATAAAATCCAAAATTTTTGTTTGTGCTACCTATAATCTCAAATTTTTAAAACTTTATTTTCCACCACCCTTACCCTCACCTCAACTTCTTCCCTAAAAATAAATTCATAATTGAAAAAGAAATTGGTGACTGATCGTCCACGTGGCAATAGAGAGAATAATGTATATCAATTGTATATATATCTAAATTATAATATATAAAGAGAAAAATATAATGAATACATATGTTAAATATATATTATGCAGTGGTTTGAGCCCCTTTTTTGGAAAAAAAATATATTTTTAACAGTATTTTGACATCATTTCAACAATAAAATAATATTACGCACAAATTCAAAATATTTCCTTATTTTTTAACTCACATTTTCCATCAATATTGTTTCGCGCGGGTTAACTCGCTAACAATTAAAGGGGATCAGACGATTGTGTAAGGGACGAAACCTCTTGAGACAAAGTCCCAAAAAGGGGTGTTCTTTTATTGGCGATGAACTTTACAATTGGAAACGAAAAACAACGTGCCTCCAAGGGGCGCAAGCACACGAGTTACAGAAAGGAAAGTATTTAAGTCTAAAAGCTAAAGAAATGAAAATTACATATTCTCTTGTTCGAGAGTTTTGGATTCGGTCCTTTGCTTCTACGCCTTTTCTCCCTTTTATACCTCATAGACGATCTCTTTGTGATTAACTACTCTGAAAACTGCTTGATCGTCCTATAACTACCCACTTTCTTTGTAGTGGCCATTTTGTCATGAAACCGCCTTTTAACTGCTGCCATTATCTTTCATCGTCCAACTGCTTTCGATTGACTTCCTTGAGTTGTGGAACGTGATAAGGCTACTTTAACAACTGCCTTGATAACTGCATTCCTTGATAATCACGATGCGTTATGTTTATTGACACCTTGGGCGACTTGAAGGTTTGGGCGAGAGTAGAACAACAGCTCTGGGCGACCGTATGACACTCGTTCGTTCAGATTCTGAGCGACTTGCAAACTTGGGCGATGGCATTACCGCATTCTTGGGCCTCTTGTTTGGGCCTTCACCTTGACTCGTTTGATTGGATTTCATTCTTTGGGCCGTCTGTTTTGGGGATTCTCCCATTGGGCTTTACTCCTTGGACTGTTCGACTTGGGCTGAATTTTTATGTGTCAACAAAATTCAAAAACTTTCTTATTTTTTTAACTAAATTTTAAAATTTTACTTTTCCCAATATATATTTTGAAAAAAAATGAAACTCAAGCATGGAGTATATAATTAATTTGTCTAGTAGACAGATGACACAGCAGAGAGTAAATTATTTCACCATCTTTCTTTCGTTCTTTGGATATATTTGAGCCCTGTTATTTGAAAGAACAAGTTTTATAATAGTTAATTTTTGGAGAACGTGTGCTTAAAAAGTAGGAAAATATTTTGAGTTTATATGTAAAATTATTTTATTTAAAAATATGTTGTTAAAATTGAGTTTGAGGAAAAAATTAATTTTTGTAAAATAAGCTCAAACGTGGCTTCATTTATCAAGTGGCCACATCCTTGTCGACACGTTTATATTTTTGTCCCTTTCCTTCCGGTGGCACTGAAAGTTTGTTTACTCTGTCTGTCCCTCACTTTTGGTGGTTTTTATTTTGATTAAGAAGTCAATGAAATAGTGCGTGCACTTTCAAATTCACTTAAAAGTCCATTTCAACTTCTACTCTTTTTTGTGCATTCAAAATTAATTAATTAAACTGGAAAAGTGAGTAACTAACTTCTTATATCAATTTCGACCAAAAGTAAAAACACGAATATACATACATATGACCCACGAGGTAATGAAACCTTTAGCTTATGTAATAAATTCCAACTCCAAACTCCTATTTGTTGCAAGTTACAGCATTAACTTGCAGTATACATTTAATGGCTGTTCTATTCTTCCACTTGTGCTCTTTGCTACATAAACTAATCCCTTTCATCTATTAATTTCCCAAAACTAAATCTCGAGCCCGTAATCCATATTATTACACTTTGTAACTAGCGGAATTCTATAAAAGTTTTTATGATACGTTAGGTTAGGAAGATTGGATGGGACTAGACAATATTATCATAGTGTTGACGAATCATGTTCAGTCCAGACGGCTGCCTGTCCTTATTTTCATGAACTTGTTGCAGGCATAAAGCTCATGCAGATCGGAGGATTGATCTTGGCTAAAGCAAGTATAGATGGAATCCATTGATGAGAACAGCAGTTGCAGTTCCACTTGGATAAGATAACTTGTAGTCTATGATCATAATCTACGTAGCAACGAAAAACACATGAATAAGAACGACTAAAATATTGTTTATTATACTGCCTGGTCGACCAAATCTCAATAAATTTGCAGGACTCAAATGCATAAGCAATAACAACACCTATTATCTTAGGGAAAAAAACACCTTTCTGAGAGGAACCAAAGCCAACAATCCCACAAAACTAACGACAAAAAGGAACCCAATCATCCAATCAAGCCCAGGTTCTTTATAACTTCCAGGTGAATTCCCCACCGTATCAGCTCCTGCTTGTTCATATGTCTTCTTGTTTAATCCAAGAAGATAAGACCCAAATCCACCTGATATATATACACACATACTCAACAAATAAACACGAATAATTTCTCTTCACTAAAATCAAGTAAAGGAAAACGAACATGCTGAAAAGTTCCTTACCTCCCACAGCAATGCTATAGCAAGCAACAGCACAAGTCTGAATAATTGTATTCTCCTGTCTTGTGAATGGAGTCGTCACAAAATTAGCCTTCTGAAGCAATTTTGTCCATGTTCGAATAAATACAAAAGCAACAAGAGCTGCTGAAACATTAAGGTTAGGGACAAGTCCAGTAGTAAGATTTAGCTTCATTACTATAATACTGTAAATGATCCCAATCAACAGACTGGCAACAATTCCTCGAATTGTGATCTGTTTTGTCCATGGTGGAATTCTCTTCAGATCCCCTTCTTGATCAATGGTTTCTTCCAAATCCTCCCTCTCAATTTCCATCATTTCTCCCCTTTCATTAGTCCCCATTTCAAAAAACTCTGCCTGCTTAATATAATGAGATTGTAATAAGCAAATTCTAGGAAAATAAGTGATTATGCATGCAAGAAAACGAAAAGGGTGATCTCACTTGTACACAATATCAAACAGTTGGCACCCAACACTGAATTCAATGAATCCTCTCAAAGTTATAAAACCCAGAATTTTTACCTGGTATAATCAAGTCTTCAATGCTCAGAATTTATAGCAATGAATTTAGAAATGATCGACAAATACAATCCACATCGAAATGTATAGACTATTACAAGTACTACACCTTTGTAGTACAAAAACTCAGTGTTCACTTTTTGTACTACAAAAAGTTTTAAAAAATTCAAGATTCATTTGGTGATGTATGAACACAACTGATGGTGGACAAAAATTGCGTTTGTCTTCCTTCTCGTTGACTCCCATTTTTTACTCCACTACCAAAAACTCTCCCTCTAAAAACACACCAAACACACATTTCTTGTGTAGAATTTAAAAAAGGGTCTTTTTGCAATACAGGTTTCGATTAGAAAGAACCTTTGCTTTAAAGGGGGCTGTGTTTTAATGGCGTCGGATGGAAACGCGCGTTCAAGTTGAAGACTTCTAATTTATCTATTTATTTATTATTATTATTATTTTTTTTTTTTGTCAGTGCATAGACATGACATCTTCGGTCAGTTAGAGCTTGAAAAAAAAGATAAAGATAAGGATAAGAGTGAAAAATATAATTGTTATGAGATCCATATAAAAGAAAAAAGTCAAATATGATAGTTTGATGTGATGGATAATGATCATATTTTTTATTTTTGTAATCAAAGAATGAGTATCAAACGGGGGCTAAATTTCATTTAATCAATAGTGTTGAAAAACAAGCAAAAACTTAAATGATTTTTTTTCCTGAACATTATTAAATGGACAAATAGAAATTTTAATAATCATCATCTACAGCTTGTTTGGGAGTGATTTTTTGGCCCAAAAAATTGATTTTTTGATCGTTATTTCACTATTCCAGATGTCGTATTTGACTTCCTCTTTCACAAGTGGACCCCACTTTTCTCCTAACGGTCAAAAAATCAATTCTTAAAATCACTCCTAAACAGGCTCCTAATAACTAAAATAAATAAGTTATATTCAATGAATAGAGTCAAGATACTTGAACTGATTGAAAATTAATTTTTACTTTATTATTTTTTGGATGAAATAGATTAATAAATATACATTTTGAAAAATAATGAAATAGTATGCAAAGTGTTATTGAATGTAACATATAATGTGTGATCTTTGTATATCAATTAAGTGTATTTTTCTCTATTTAGCTATTCATAAAAGCAAATTTGGAAATATTTATAAATTTCCTTATAAATTTTTTTTTTTTTTTTTTTTTTTTTTACCAATAACAGAAATACACTATTAAAAATGTAAATTTAAAAAATACGGTATGTAAATTAAATAACCATAAATTTAAGGTGTATTCTGTAATTATATTTTTGTAGTGATGTTGATATTTTGTAAATGAGGGTGACGTATGCCTAACTATTTAATTGTCAATATTTTGCGAGTTAGATAGATAAGCTGCAAAATATAGGTCCTGAATTATAATAAAGATCCTCAATTTTTGCACATTTTCTCACTTGTATTCTCAACATATTTTCGTTGCATTCTTATATTTAACCTTCAATTATTAATTAATACATCTTGTATCTATTGATATTTTCTATTCAAATATCCCGTTAGTATTGGAAAAACATGCTTTTGAACATTTGTATTTGTTGTTTTTATCTTACTTATTTAAATGTACAAGGGATAAAAGTGTCCTGAAGAAATTAATAAATTATACGTAAGACCCATAACATTTTGTGATTAATTGGCAAATCTATTTTGATTTTCTAGGAACTGATAATGTAGGACTGTTAAGATGGTTAACTTAAAGCAAATCGTTTGAAGTCTAGACGCGGCATGATACTCTTTCTACCATTATGTTAATATAGTGATGATTTTCAAATGAATATTTTATCGGTATAGAACACTCATCTCGATAAAATGATTTGAACCACTTATTTTAAAATGGGCATTTTCCCTCTTTTGTCCAATGTTACCTTTATTTTCTTTCTTATTCTGTTGTTCTCAATTTTTTCTCACTCGTTTTGTTTTTATAATGAAAACACCATAAGTAAATAACGACAAAATATCCATAACAAAATAATTCGTTTATAAAAATAATTATAGATTAAGACATCAACCCACCCTTAACCATTTTGATGAGTATTAGAGCGACTAATGTTAATTATTCCATCATAAAAGATTTGACTCTTTATTTTGGAGATGAATTAAACTACTTGTTCGAATTTTTTTGACATAATGATTGACAACTTCCTACATGCGCGTGAGTTCCGCGTAAATAAAAAAATCCAAAAAAGAAGTAGGTCCCCTCCCATTGTGAGTGTTGGTCAATCATTATATCAAAAAATTCGGACAACATAGCATGATTGTTTTGATATTAGACATGATTTGGTCGCTTGAAAATGTATGAGGCTTTTCTACCACATTAATCTTGTATTTTCACCTTTTATTTTATTTTCATTTTACAATTCAATCTTAGGTGTCACTCTTTATTTTGAGATTAGACGAATTGAAGTGTTCGTTAGAACTTCTCGAAATTTTGCTGTCATATTAAATTCTTTTCATTTTAAAATGTCATTATTGTTAAAATTTATAGTTTACCCCCCTTTGGCCCCTATTTTTGAGAAACGACAATGGGTAGAATAATGTTTTTTTTTTTTTTTAAATAAGTGGTTGAAGAAGATGGAAAAGTTTTCGATTTACGTGTAATATTATTTTATGAAAGATTGTATGGTTAAAAATAGAAGAGAGAAAAATGAAATGTAATATAATGAAATTTAATGGGGGCCAAATAGGGACATTCTTATATATTGATTATTATTATTATTATTATTATTATTATTATTATTATACCTTTGCACTTCCTCAAATAAGACTTGAATGAAGGTCTTCAAGTGGTAAAAGGGGAGGGTGGAGAAATTCAACTTTGTTTGAGGCTACTGCGTCAAGGATTCGAATCCTGAAATATGGATTTGGCTCTTGAGTAAGTGCAAGTGTACAAGCAGCCTTCCACCCTGTACCCTTGGATGCATAACCTGCGATTTACTTCCCTCACGATACTCCAGGGCAGGGGCGGTGGGAGACCCTCAAGATTGGGGTTCAACCTTTTTTTTTTTGAATGAAGGTCAATGATATGATGTGATGTGACTTCGTTTTTACCACTTGATCCAGTCTAGGTTGGTAGCCCAAGCTTGGCTCGTGGGCTTGTTAGGTCGAGTGGAACCATCCATAAGTCGGTTTATTTTTATAAGAAATTAGTAAATAAATCCAAAAAAGAGTGTCCTGCTCGGTCGATGACTCGTCTCAACGAGTTTGAATCGTCCATGGTTCAAACCAGGATGAACGGAGCATGTGAACAGCTTGATCAGTTTGTTACACTTAAAACTAATCCTTGGACATATTAATTATTATTTTTGTATTTAGACGATGTTAAAGATTTTATCTTTAATTATTAATAAGGAAAAAAAAAAAAACGATTATAGACGCCTCCCGTGGAATTAGTTTGCCCACCTCTTCCGGTCAACCCACGAACTCAACCACAATTCCTTTGCCTTCCACTTTCGAGGGCAGACAGTAACTCTACACTTTAATCGTGTAAGAAAGTGAGTGATTTATTTAATTAATTAGTCGATTAAAAGTTAATTACCTTTAATGACTCAATATCTTATTGTCTCTTAACTAATGATAATTTCGGTGACGTCATGATGTGACCTTTTAGAATCTTAATAGGCGGTTATTATTTTTAAAAACAAAAAGAACAATTTAAGGAGAAAAAAAGTTAATTAAATTAATCAGCTTATTAATTAGTGTAAATGTTAGTTAGTGGGATTGAAAGAAATAATTATTTATCACTGCTCTTAATTGTTTGGTATTGTTCATGGAGCATCGACACCTCGACCCATATCGAGTGTCTTCCAAAAAGGCTTTAGAACACACGAAGGAAATTACTAAGCATTTGGGTTGACCTCTCTTTGAGAGCAATCCTTATGGAGCGTCAGTGGCAGAGCCAGGATAATTTTTGGGACGAGCTGACACGAAAAACGATAATAATAATAATAATAAAGTAAAAAATAAAAATAAATCACACATAATTTTTTTTTTTTAACTTAAATCTTTCTTTTTAATTAGCATTTGGGCTAGAGGGATGGGGTCTAGCATAGCCTCGCCCATCTCTAAATTCGGAACTGTGGAGCGTGGCATTCATCATAAATCAATACATATATAAATAGATACTATAAAAAGTTCTACATAACAATGTATGATTTCAACTAGCATGGATAGATAGACTTGAACTAGTGAGATAGGATTGATCTCAATCTAGTGAGATAGGATTGATCTCAATCTAGTGGTATATATTCAACTTCAAGCTAATAAGATAAGTACGAACTCAAGCTTATGAGATGTGCTTAACCTTGGACTAATAGGGCTCGGCCTCGATTCAATAAGAGAGGCTTGATCTCGAGCTTATTAACAAGGTTGAGACTCTCTTATTAGATCAACGTTTAGCTAGCCTAATATGAACTCATGTAAGCAAACGCTACCAAACCCACAATCAAGATTGAAAATCGATTCAAGAAAGTCAAAGCAAGGTTTTGGATTAAACTCAATAAATTTGGAACCAAGCAACTTGAATCACCGACGATGTGCGGACATCTTGATTACGCAAAAATATGTAAATCTCACCCAATTGATTTGAACGTCACAAGATTTAAATCTTGATAAGTTCGTATATTGTCCAATTGAAGAAGACAAAAAGAAAGCAATGAAAGTCTCTCATTAATAATAATGTCAAAAAAGTTTTTACAATGTAGAAAAAAATCCTATTTATACTAAACCTAGGAACTAGTTTTAAAAAGAATAAAACTCTAGTAAAATAATTGAAAATGGAATTATTAACTCCTAACAATATTAAGTTACCAAAATAATAAGAGTTTTAGTGGAAACAAACTTCTCGCCAAAAATAGAACATCCACCCAAGTTTTCCTCTATGCGGCCACATAGAGTTAATCTATGCGGTCGCATAGTACAGATTTTCACCTGGCTTGAAGTCCCTGCCACCCTCGTTGCGACCGCATGGGTTGGAGAGCCGCATAGCTCTCGGTTGAGATCCATTTTTCCGTCATTTGAAATACATTGATCCAAACTTCTTCTGCCTTCATCCCCAACATGAACCTTGTCCCGTTTTTGAGTCCTGAACATGGTTTCATCAGCGGTCGCCCTGGCAAGCAATCCCATTGCCTCTTTCACTCGCTTCATCCTCACTCGCGTCATTACCCCACCTTCGACTATCAACATATCTTTCCACGGGCTTGACGTTGGAATTGACTTTGTCGCTTGTGTCTCCTAGATCACTTCATCCCTTCCCTCTTTGAAAGGATTCGTCCTCGAATCCGAACCCGCATCAAAGAGAGAAAGATCAGACCCATTAAAAGTTGTTGAAATGCTATACTTACCTGG